GTTAAATTGTGTAAATTAAACCTAGAAATTACCTTAATTGTTTTATGCATTTAGCGATTACAAAATGTTAAACATAAATATCTAGTTAGTTAAAATGCATGTATAATATATAAGTAATTCATGTACAGTTTGTCCCAAACCCTTTTTTCAGTGCGTCACTAATTTTGACGTCATATAGGATTTTAAGAATGTCGAGAATTATTGCATGACATTTTAGTTAAATCTGACAGTTGCAGGATCGTAATCGGCTAAACGTGAAAAGGTTATTTTTTTTAATGCATAGTAGTTTGTCATAATTCTATTCTATTCTGTTCTATTTTATACATTCCATGGAAAGTGCTTAATTAGCTAAGATTTGTTTATGGATTTATTATTATTTATTACAAACACTAGGGAATTGGAAGGTTTGTTTATTTAAAATAACGCTTTCTCCTAGAATCTTTTAAGAGTTGACTGCAAGGTAAAAAAAATTACTGACAATTGCAAGGCATCAAAGTAAACATTCCTGCGATAAAATAATATCGATTTAAATCAGTCATATTTGGACAAGGAATTTTCTGATAAGTTTGTGTGGCAGCCAATAGTTTAATTTTGTGAAGAGTTGTCATTAAATAGTGGAAATAGTTTAAATAGTGAAGCAGTTGATTTTTGAGTTATTCTACCAGATTTGGTGTGCAAATGAAAGAAGGTTATAAAGTTTAGTTAAAAAAACAATATAAATAGTTTAAATAGTGAAGCAGTTGATTCTTGAGTTAATCTACCAGTTCCGATATCCAGATGAAATCGTGTTAATGGAGTTTAGTTAAAAAACAAGATACAGAATGTAAGTTTACCTTCTTTTTTATGAATAACAAAAATGAATATTATATTTCAAACAATCTATAATCCCATTCAGAATCTGATTCTTGAAAATCAATGATTACACTAGATATGTGGCTGGTATCAATTATATCCTACATTTCAAGAAAATGTCGTGGTTCTAAAAAGAACCGTTTTAATACATATAAATATCCATAAAGGTATTAGTTTAAGATATTTCCTGAATATCATTCCGGAATTCACAATCTGATTTGCGAGTGACAGAAACTGAAATAAAGATAACTCAGCCTCATTTTCTAATTGAAACTAATTTAATAATTTTAATATTAGTCTTTTTTCATTCTCGGTATATCTCGGAATATTTAAATTATTTTTATGACAATAAATACAAAATTTAATTTTCACTGTAGTTAAAATGTCTGAAAATACTAACCTGGAATGGCAATTATCATTTTATCAGTTGTTGTGAAAGTACTGTCACTGTCATTATCAAGATCATCTGTGTCAAATTATATTTATATGCATAATTGATTGGATATCTATTTAGCATATTCTAAACTCCAACCAATTATACGTTCGTAAGTAGAATTCGCTTTAATATGCGAATACCCGTAAACGATACCTAATTTTCTAATTTCTATGTATAATAATAAGCGACTCACGTTTTTTTCTGTCACTTCTAGCTTAATGCGTTAGAGAGAATTCGAACAACTATGACGCACTGAAAAAAGGGTTTGGGACGGACCGTACAAGATATTACATTCGTGCTTAATAATTTAAAGAATTTTAAAACAGGAAGCTTTTTACCAAAAAATATTGTTATAATTTAATCAATTGTATTTTAAACTATATACATAGCGCTGGAATAATTCACTTTCTGGTTATTTACTTAATAATATTTAGGATATATAATATGTATAAAAATATTATACAGAAACGGTGAGGAATTCGAAAATAGACAATGGGTATTTATTATTGTAAAATTAAACAGAGAACTTTCATACATACTTAATTGTACTTTATCCAAATTTAAAAATACAATATAATACATCTCCTTCAGTTACTTAGTTGTTGCCGTTCTTCCTCCTAAAATGTTTTCTCGATTGAGGTTCGCGATCAATTTTAGGCAAATTTTTGTCTGTCCTGAGCTTAATGAATTGGTTGGTTTCCTATTGTATGGGTTCACTCTCTTATGTTACGCAGTCATGATTTTTTCTTTCTCTTTATATTTCTTTTTCCTTTGATCTTTGATTCTAACATTACTTGAAGTTGTTCAAACTCTCTATGTCGCATAAGATGTCTAAGTGTGCGTTCATAACGAGGCGCCGACCGTAGGATGGTATCATAGTATCATCGCCACGTAAAACAAATGCATTATATTAAAAATTCCAGCGTTCACCGTCAAAGCGCAGCGCCCAACCTCGAGCCAGGTATCGGACCATGAACTTGGTCCATTGTATTCCAGCTTAGTATTTTTTCGATTCTCGTCCCTAGTACTCTACGATCGACACTACGAGGTGCCGACCACCGAACCTCGCTACGACCATCGTATCGATGCCAGGTAAAATAAATGCATTTTATTTTAAATTCGAGTGTTCACTGTCAGTGCTATGCTCTAGACGAGGATACGATGCGATGGTCTCCGTAATTAAGGGTGCGTTCATAACGGAGACCATCGCACCGTCTCCTCGCCTAGAGCGTAGCACTGACGGTGAACGCTGGCATTTATAGTGCGCGCAAGCACTCTTGACCATGGAGCTGTGCGAAGGCGGAGTCAAATTCACGTAAAGGCAGAAAGGTTCTATGGTAAATTGAATTATACAGTGCATAGTACAATGCGTTTCACACGGAAGTGGTGACTAAACCAAATTTCATCTACTGCGCCGTGGTCAAGAGTGCTTGCGCGCACTCTAAAGTAATGCATTTATTTTACCGAAAATCGATTAAATGATACCATCCCATGGTCCGAGCGAGGGTCGGCGCCTCGTTATGAACGCACGCTAACGCACCCTTAGGGTACGGACATTCCGAAGATACATGGATGTGCGTGGTGGAGGTCTCGATCGCGGTCGAGGTTTACATCGATGACGGGCAGAACATACCGAAGATACCTTCCTTTCAGCGTTCTTTGCGGTTTCTGAGGTGACTGAAATGTGTTCCAGGAAAGTTAGTTTTTTTACATTATAAAATTATGTACATGAGCAACAGTAGTGACTATAGTGAATACAGGGCTTCAAGTGAAAAGTAGTGGATCATTTGTAATTAAATTCGACAGTTTTCGGCTCATTCTATAAATAAAAAAAGGCAGTATCTAGGAGAATATCATCGCGATGTAAAACAAACTATTTTGTTATCGCATCGACATCGCTGTAAACCGCGGTGGTAAGTCGCGAGGGTAAACGGGTGAAACATCCTTGGTCTGTGCGATCTTATAAGACAATAAAAGTTTGTTTTGACAACGACGTATCGTACGCGACCTCCACAGCACACATCCATGTATGTTTGGTATGTCCGTACCCTAAGGTGGGTATAATGTTTAGTAAATTTAACCCTCCTTTCCAGGGGTATACTTTTTTGTGACACAAATCCACGGGTAAGGTTTATCAGGACCAAATTTTAAACATCCTTTTTCTCTTTAAAAAAAATTGTTTTTTAATATTCTTAAGGCTTACTGATTTAACGTTATACTACCTAAATGTACATATAATATGTGCACCAATATCTGTTGGAATTCTGGTTCCAATTAAAATTGGAAAGAGAAAATAGAGGGGGTTAAATGTTGTTAATTTTATTTCTATACAATCGGCACAAACATTTATATGTTCCATATATAACCAGTTTGTGCACAATTGGCAAAAATATCTAGTTTTTCTTTTTATGTAATACTTATACCATCCCAGTTTTCCTGGGGCTGGGTCATCCCTCGTCGTTTGCTCAATTCCTGAAAATTTTGCAGTACGTAACCGTGATTTACTCGATATTCGCATATGTAGTGCTCTTATTTTCATATTTTTATGGACTAACGCAATTCCTAAAGACTTCAGAAACAATCCACGAGAAGACTGAAATTCTGCATTGGTATTATTGGATGGATCTGTATAATACAATAAATGCATTTATAGCTGCAGTATTAGCCAAGCCATAGCACAAAACAAGAAACGCCCACCCATGGGTGGGGTGTGTCAGGATATTTTTACAGGTAGAGATTGAAGGGATTCATACAATTTAACCAAATTATGCTAAAATGTACTATTCATTGCCATTAAAAGGTACACTGAGTCTAGGAATAAATACAAAAAAAAATGGAAAAATTAAGCAATTTCATTTATAGTTGTACTGATGGACCCCACCCGTGGGAAGGAGGGTTAACAGTTTTAAATAGTTGCGATCGTGTATTCATGCTGGTAATACATTTTCGTTAGACGTTCTGCTTATTAAACTTATTCGTAACATCCATCAATTAACATTGCATAAGTAGTACATCCGCACATAAACAGCAAGTGGCAAGAAGAGCAATTGAAAGTTTTTGAGAGGAAGATTATGAGAAAAATACTTAGACGAAAGAGGGAAAACGAAGAGGATGCAAAACGATACATTAATCACTAAAGACAATATAATGGATGGGTCAAGAGAGCATAGTTGGAGCAATAATAGCACAGAAAATTAGATTGTATGGGATGTAACTGATATGGGAACAACAATGGGAAGAATACTTAAGGGGTATGGAAAAAATATAGAAAGGGCAAACAAAGAGAGAGAAGAATGGAGAAATGTAGAGGAAACAGCAAAGTCACACCAGAAACTGTAAAACGAAACCCAGAATGGGATGATCCCCACACAAGAAGAATCTTCAAGTAAAAACAGCTTCAGCTTCCCAGGGAGCTTATATATAATACACCCAAAATACTGCACACCATTTAAATAAAAATTTCATAGTTTATTTTATATTTACATATTTTTAACATTAGGAACCTTGACTCATGCTTTAAAACAATACTGATAAGATCTTCTCCAGCCTAGTGTAAAAAACAAATGCAAAATTAGCAATTATAATGATTTGTAGCTTCCATGGTAAACAATTCTTTTATAGTGCAATGTCTGTGTCTAAAGTTTTTAGTTAAAATATGTTTCAGAAAAAAAATGTGAAATAATTTTAAATTAGAGATTTTTAATTAAAAAAATTACAATTTTTTATTTGGAGTAAGTGGTCTACAATTAGCATGGTTTGGGGAAGATTCAACTTCATCCTTATTACTCAACCATTCAAAAGTTAGTGGATGAAATTTATCCTAAAATAATGGGATTTTGCAATTCGTTTTTGACAGCAAAAATTCCAAATGGTCATTTCATTACTTATATTTTGTAAATATCACAATATCATAATCGGGTAAAATATGTTTCTAAATTTTTAAAGGATGTCACTCCAGAGCATTACAATAACCAAGCTAGGAAATATTTTTTGGCAGTACCCTAGGAATAGATATTAGATTGGATGGGCCCTGATATACCTGGATTGGGCCCTGATATGCCTGTTTATATTATATGTTTTGACGGCCAGATGTCCAGATCTTAACCCTATTGACTGTTACCTTATAATTTCAGAATAATCTGAAGGCAACAATTTTCCAAAATATTTGGTTTGCCTTTTTTAAAATGGTTCCAAATATCTATACAATATAATGTGGGGGATTTGAATATCTTTAAAATACACTACACTGTTAGTAAATATTTAAGTAAGATATTAAGTATTTAAGTAAGATAATAAGATATTTTGGAACTATCATGCAAAGTCATTATTGACAATTGATTGATTGATTACAAAGTGTTAAACAGTTTCCAAGACATTGGAAACATTCGATTTTCAATTTTCAACTCAAATCTATAACTTTTTTTGTATGCAGGGTATTCCATTTTATGATCTACATTTTTGTTATACTCTGTATAATGTAAGTATTTGAAGTACTAGTACAGATTAGAAGGCTAAAAAATGCATATTTAAAAAAATGTCTTAGCTCCTTGATTGGATAGGAACATGAATTTTTTTTAAATATCATTTTATCTTTGAGTTAAACAAAAAAACTGTTTTTAGTTCTTATGAATAGCTAGAGGGCACCTAAGTTAATAGGTACAAAGAATATAGACTAAGCATCTATATTCTTTAATAGGTATCTCAAAAAAAAAAATGTGTGATGGCGGACACTAATTCTCAAAAAATGGTTAATTGTCTTGTAAGTGCGCTTTCTCCTTATGGAATCTTTTGTTTCAGATGTGCCAGTGCCAATCCTAATAATGGTGCCTATCTTTTAAATGCATGGGAACAAAAAAGATTTTATTAATTCAAAGATAAAATAATATTTAAAAATGAAATCATGTCCAATTCTAATATTTCATGCTTGTATCAAATAAAGGAGCTGAGAAATTTTGTTTGAAAATATGCATTTTTAGCTTTCCAATCTGTATTAGTACCTTAATGCATACAGTACATAATTGGTAGGTTCTATTAGTGAGTTACTGATGTCTCTTGGTTTTTATTTCTTGACTATGTAAGCCTGTATATTTAAATACATTAACAATAATAATTAACATAGATGATCTCAAGAAAATGTCAAGAAATTGGATAAAAAGTGCTCAAGATAGAGCACAATGAACAAAGATGAGGGAGGCCTATGTCCTGCAGTGGACGCAAAGCGCTGGGTGATGAACAATTAACATTAATTGATTTAAGTTCATAAAAGTATGTAGAGCTGAACAAAATAATGGCATAATATTCTCTTCGAATTTGTTATCTTTTTACTATAGAATTCTGTAGTTAAATTCTGTTTTAAACAGTATAAAATTTTCAAATAAATAAGAGCTAAGTATGATTTTTGTTAAATAATGTTATTATATTTTAACGGCTTGGGAAAAATAATTTTGCCTCTTAAATCTGTTTCAACAAGTAGTAGTAGCAGTAGTAGTAGTAGTAGTAGTAGTAGTAGTAATAGTAGCAGAGAACTACAGTTCTCTGGTAGTAGTGTAATACTGCATGCTTTAAAATAGACCAAAGGTAGTTAATTAAATTCGAAATTTAAAACTGTTTTCAATGAAATTTCATTCAATATTGGACTCATTGTTTAACTACTATAAAATATAAATGTGTATAACTTCATATTGAGACATCCTTTATATAAACAGCTACGCCCTCATACCTGTCTGCCAAAAGAAAATTGTAGGTGTAATAGCTAATAAATGTTCAAAGGTAAACGACCTAGTAATAATAATAAACGCATCTATCTATAAAACTGTTTTCAGAAAGTAAACAAACCTCTGGCATTTTGTAAAACGCGTTTTTACAACCTTCGAATTCCATATTATTAAAAATTATAATAAAGCAAACCGGTCTGATTTAAATTGAATTTAAATTTAGATTACTACCTCATAAAAAATCAGATTTATAAGTTGTAATAATCATTCTTGAATGACTCATAAAACTATTAAATTGTTAAAAAAGTATGACATCACTGATGTGGTCAGTAATTCCAGGAGAGTTCTCAATAATTTTCAAGAATTTGCAACAGCTATTCCACGAAGTATGAACAAAAATAAACAATGATTTAATCAATCAATTTTAATATAGAATAGTACCAGTTGGATGAGAGGTCAGACGACGGTCAGGAACCCGTATCATCCGCAGGTAGAGAAGGAACGTATCTTTAAAACTAATAAACAACTATTAAAAAACGTACCAAAACTTTTGTAAATCTTCTTTCGAGCTCAGCAGGGTCTGGCATGGGTTGTTTAGCTTTGGCTTTGATAGCACTTTGCCTGATACTAGCTTGTCTTCCATGTAACTTGGAAGATATTACACTATCGGCCTCAGGGGCCGAAGTCTCTTGTTTTGACATTGTTAATCCCATGGTTACACGACAATAACACAAAAATAAACACTTAACTGAAAACAACACATAATTCGCGAAAAAATAGTAGTCTACATCTCGAGAACTTTATTTCACATGGGAATAGCAACAGGTTTTTTACATGTAAGTAAACATTGACATCCTCCACTCACTGATAGACTCGCAAAACTGCTGAAACTGAAAAGTTTTGATGAGAATTAGTTCCGAAAGTATTATACGCATGCGTTTGGGTAAATAGTTGTTTTTAAACATGTCTGTCCATCTAGCGGTGCTTTCAATATTCAAGTTAGTTTTCTTACTTATATTATATGACACCAACAGATGGCAGCGTAGATAGTAGATAGCGTAGATAGTAAAAATTATTTTAGAAATTAGTGACATTATTTTGATTATTTTCGTTAATATTGGTTAGACGTCTAATCAAATGGCGATTATTAATTATTATAAATATTTTTTATTCTCAAGGTACAACAAAAAGTCAATATCAGAGATCCGAGGAAATGTATTTGACAAGAGCTAAGAGTCACACAGATACAGAATCTATAATTAATACACAATACCACAGTATATTTCTAGCAGTGGCGGCTCGTGACATCTGCTATAGGGTGTGCTGCATGAACCACGGTCAATATAAAATAATAGAAATAGAATAACATACGAAAACAAAAACAATAAAATTAGCTTTAATACTAATTAATAGTAACTAATAACGACATGCTATAAAAATCTGATTAACTTACATTTATTGCATTTTTCTAAATTGGAAATTAATACGCCGGTCCTTTTTTGTCGCAAACTTTTCGATTACTTTATCGTTAAAGTTCGGTATTGAAGCGATGAACTTTTTTTCTATCGAGAGTGTGGAAAGGGCTGTTAATCTGTCTTCGCACATTGAATTTCTTAAAAATGTTTTGATCCGTTTTAAAGTTGAAAAACTACGTTCAGCTTCTGCTGTGGTCATTGGCGTAGTCACCAGAATTTGTATCAACTTTTTGGTTTCTGTTAATGTGTCCTCTAAATTATTAGAAATTATAAATTTTAGTAAAGGCACTGCACCTTTTAATGTTCTACACTCGATATTGGAATACAAAACTGACAGTTCTGTTCGCAAACGGTTTTTATCAAAGAAGTTATAAGCTGTACAAGTTAAATCCAATTCATTTTCAGGAAACTTATTATTATATTTTTCGAAATGTTCTGAAGATAAAAGTGTTGCGGCAACTAGATGATTTGTATATGCAAACCGTTCTTTTGCATTGTTTATAATAACATCACAAACTTCTAGACAGGCAATACGGTGATCCTGTTGGCTGTTATTTGGGCGTTTCCTTTTTTGGACACTAGGCGCCGCATTTAAATTTGAAGCTTGATGTATGATAGGGTCTATTTTATTTCGGACATTGTTAATACTTTGCTCAAAAACATGTATAGCTTTCTGTGCTTCGGTTGGGTCCATGTTCTTTTTTTGAAGATTATTGTACAAAACGTCAACATGTGGCATAATATAATGAAAAACAGTCAGCCAGAAAGTAAAATTTTGATCTTCCAGAATACGTCTAAGTCCTCTTGCTTCCTTGGAAGTAATAGCATTTGACTCTTCTTCTAGTTGCTCCATACACTCAATAATAAAGTCTCTATATTCGTAAACGACATTTACTGTACGAATATTGAAATTCCAGCGTGTAGGGATTGAACGAGGAATATTTTTTCCAACTATTTGATTTAAGACAGCTATTCTTTGAGGTGAATGACTAAAAAATCCAGGTATATCATGTAAATCTTAAACAAATACGCGTACTTGGGAATTAATAGAACATGCTCTTGACATTATTAGATTCAATTGATGGGCGTAACAGTGCACAAAATGAGCAGTTTCATATTTTCTCTTAATTATTGTTTGCACTCCGCCATGTATCCCACTCATAACAGCTGCTCCGTCATAACTTTGTGCAATGAGCTTATTTTTGTTATTCTTTAATATTGGGTCTAAAACATTCAAAATTGTGTTAGCTAAGGTTTCAGCATCATGTTTTTCTGGAAGCAAAAAAGTCCAAAACCTTTCAACTGGAGCACCGTTTTTTACATAACGAAAAACAATGACCATTTGAAATTTCATAGAAACATCCGTTGTCTCATCAGCTATCACTGCTAAAAATGGGGCTTCATTGATTTCGTTTAAAATCTCCTCAGCGTATACTTCTAGCATGCAATCCAAAATATCATTTTGTATTGTTTTTGAGGTACCTTTGAAAATTGTCGCATTTGTAAGGTGTTCACTAAGTGTTTTATCAAGTTCAGCAGAAAAATTCACTAAACCACGAAAAATTCCAGGGTTATCTGATGTTTCAGATTCATCGTGTCCTCGTAAGGCGAGCTCAAAAGCCCCACAGAATTTTATACAGTCAATTATTTTTGACAAAACATACCTGTTTTTCGTCACCTCTTCATTGTGTTTTTGTATATTTATCCAATAAGCAGAGTCAAGTTGGGCCTGTATATTAAGTTTCCCAAATAATGCAAATCGCATTTCATTGTTCATATGAGTTTGCGTGTTTTCATGCTTCTTTATTTTTTCACTTAAATGCACTAGATCCCGCACTCCTGTCTCGCGCCACAATTTTTCCTTTTATCTGCGCCGAATAATGCACACGGAAAACAGAAAAAAGCATTTTTTTCGGAACATCCACAAATCCACTGATTTCGTAGATACATGTCTTTATTAAATTTACGCGTATATGTTTTTCCACGGCTTTTACCGGACACTTCAATATTAAGATCAGGCATAGGACGGCCACGTTCTTTTATAATCAACTGTTGTTGATAGTGAAGTTTTTGAAATTTATTTACACCTAATTTAAATTGAAACTCCATTGTTTTAAACACGCTCGAACAAAACAAATTAAACAAAATTGTAACCTAAGAATTTCTAAACACGGCACAGATGCAACGGTCACGAATAACTGTCGTGAATTGCAGCTCGCAAACACATTTCCGAGGCCGTTAATCAGCCGATTGCCGAAGCACATCGGCTAAGATCGCCGTTTGCCTAATAAATGCATTTTACCGCTGCCAGTGTTTCGGTTGTTATCGACGCGGCTTCACTGGAGCAGCAAATACGTAAAAAGATTGCTTCACTGGAGCACCAAATACGTAAAAAAATTATACGGTTTCACTAGAGGAGTAAATACGTAAAAAAAATAATATTAATCATCGTTGTTGGTGAATTATTATTAACAGTTTATGTTTAATATGATAATATGGCAGATTTGAAATAAAACTATATTAATTATTCTTTAATAATTAAGATTTGCTATGGTTGTTTGGTAGTTCTGCAGCTCAGCAGCACATAAAGAAAAGCCGCCACTGATTTCTAGCAATATACTGTGACAGTACCTCTAATTTATACACGAGTTTACGTTTGAAACAAGTACAGGTATTTTAATAAATACAATCACTCAATTTCGCGGCATACTCAAGATTAATCTTAGTGCTTCATTCTGGTAATTTCGACTGCAAATATGTTAATAGTGCAGTAAATGTTGTTTCTGTTATACTTAGTTCGTAGTAGTGTTTATTTATAATGTTAGAAGAGAAGGTACAAATATGGGCTACCATTTTGTTTATTGCTGATATCTTGACTATTTTTTGATCTAAAAAGTTCAAATTACATAATTGGCATGTAGAATTGTTTTGCTCTTTTGTGCTAGTCCGTTTTTATGCCTAGTAAGATATTTTTTTCTGTAATATCATAAAAATACTCACGGTGTCATTTAAGTAAGAAACGGAAAGGTGATATACCTAAATATCTACTACGAGTAAATATATTTTTTAATTTTTTATGTACAATATTCACACACATATTCGTCTCTTTCTTCACCAGAACAATCGATATGTGCCCACAAGTTTCACATAAGGCACTGAATCCATTTTTCAATAATCCTCACACCATTACAGAAAATACAAATTACATCCGTATTTTCCGGATCCGTTACACCAGGAATCTCTTCCAAATCCATATCTTCATCAGCTGGTTGAAATTACTGCTCATTATCGTTGCCAGAAAAACTTTTGATTTCCTTTTTATGCCGCCTCATACTGAACCGCCTCGACTTGTTTTTAATTTTTTTCTTAGTCATCTCTCTTGTGGACTCAGCCGTAATGTGTGGTTTTACTGCTTGTACCTACATTTAATTTCTTTTTGCTGTTTTGCTGGTTTAATGCTTCCTTGTAAGGTGAAGAAGTTATTACCGTTGATTCCGATGATTTTTTACCACGATTTGTAGATTTTTCGTGATCGACGGCACTGGCGATATTTTAAATGGACGATAATTTACAAACTTCTGCAAACCAGTTCACTGATATTGCTGGCTTCTGGTGTTTTTGGTAGGATAGCAAGTTCAATAGCTTGCGACTCTATATGGCTGCGGTTGTTACTCTCAAGTTCTGCTGCAATAAAATCTGCATCTGAGAACACAATGGATAAATTCCAGTGGTGAGGAATCCATTTAATAATAATCCATTCTCCAGTCTGGCTTTTAAGGTATGCTTTGCCAAAAAGTTTTCCAATATCGTACCGAAGTAGGGCGCGGTTATTATGACGTAACCATTGCCTGATTTCTTCGCTATAGTATGCCTTGAGCGTTTCCATGAAAGTTTTGTCTAGCGGTTGCAGTTTGTGTGTTGAATGTGGAGGTAATGAAATTATAACTATGTTATTCTCCCTTGTCAGATTGGCTGTAGTGTCCATCCAATATAAGAAGTACAGGAAACTCTTTCAGAGGGTTTAACGGTATCTATGAAGTGTTTAAACCACTGTGTTAATAAATTAGACTGCACCAAACCACTAGGATGAACGGCTGATATCGATCCAGGAGGAGTAATTTTCATAAGTTGCACATTCATATTTTTTTATTTTGCACAATGGTTAGGCCTGTTTTTATCACGCGCCATGGACAAATCTAGCCAACCTCTACCAGCCCTTTTTACCTGCATAAAGGGAT